CCAGCCAGCAAACACGACTGAGCAGCATGCGCATGTACATTTCCTATGTAATCAAGCCTGTCGGTAACGCTACAGACAAGGAAACAGTGCGCACGTGGCCGCAAAAAGCAGTACTAGAGCACCAAAATGCATCCGTGCATCACTCAATCCAAGCATTTTCAGCCGATTCAGGGCCTGCGCATTGTCAAGCCTACAACTGTGGACTTTTAGATCTTAACCAAAGGCAGATAGACTCTTGCTTTGAACAGCTTTGGCTCTACAGTGGACAAATCAAGACTGGCTCGCATTGTTTTTTTGGTTCGCTATGTCATGTGAGACTTTCTGACTCATGAGTTTGGCTGACCGTCAGAAAATCGCTAAATTCACACATTTTCCGCTTTGCCGTTGGACTCCTCGCTTTTGCCACCTCGGGATTTTTCCTTTTTACCCTTTTATCCCCGTGCTTGTGTGTCCCCGGCATTTTACCGTTTTACCGCTGCAACCAGAAGACACACCATGAGCCGGCACAGTGAACTGCTTGGGACCAATTCAGAAGAGAATCAGTTTGATTTGTGCCAGAAGTGTTCCCAACCTCGGCCAGGGCAAAGGTGGAAAGAACTCCTTTCAGGCTGAGCTGGGCTTTGTACGAGTTGAATCGAGTTGATGAGTCTGCACGCTTTTGAAGTCCACAACTGTTTGACTTCTTCATGCCAGGCGCCTGTACATGAAGCTGTCGGTTTTTTCAAAGGTGGAAAAGGCGTATTGCCAGTTGGCAAGGTGGATGTTGCACCAGAAGGAAACTTGCAAGAGGCGGGAGCCGTTGGAGAGGCATTTTTTCATCTGCGATGAGGACTGTATCTTGCGATGACATTCTGTTGCCTTGCCTTTGTTCGCTCCCAAACAGATGGAGGCTGTTTCCACCAACATTGGAGTTCAAGGAATTGATGCAAAAAAGAGGGCCTATGCTGGTAACAAGGCACCATACTACTAGTAGCAAATAGCTACTTGCAGCAAGGCACCTTACTACCAACAGGAAGTCACTAGTAGCTCCTGGCATTACGAGTAACAAGAAGCTACTAGGGGCTCCTGGCCTTACTACAAGGAGCAAGGATGCTACTAGGGGCTCCTGGCATTACTACTAGTAGCATTCTTCCTACTAGTAACAAGAAGCTACTAGAGACTCCTGGCCTTACTACTAGTGACAAGAAGCTACTACGGGCTCCTGGCCTTACTCGGAGCAAGGACGCTACTCGGGGCTCCTGGCATTACTACTAGTAGCATTCTTACTACTAGGAACAAGAAGCTACTAGGAGCTCCTGGCCATACTACTCGGAGCAAGGACGCTACTAGGGGCTCCTGGCACTACTACTAGTAGCATTCTTACTACTAGTAACAAGAAGCTACTAAGGGTTCCTGGCCATACTACTCGGGGCAAGGACGCTACTAGGGGCTCCTGGCATTACTACTAGTAGCATTCTTACTACTATATAGTAACAAGAAGCTACTAAGGGTTCCTGGCCTTACTACTAGGAGCAAGGACGCTACTAGGGGCTCCTGGCATTGCTACTGGTAGCATTCTTACTACTAGTAACAAGAAGCTACTAGGAGCTCCTGGTCTTACTGCTAGGGGCACGGACGCTACTAGGGGCTCCTGGCAGGTTTTGGAGCACCACTCCCACGACCGAGTGGACGCTTGGAGCAAAGGGAACATGGGAGGAGACAGAGGACATTCTCCACCACCGTCAGACGAGGACTCCGTGTTTTGCTGGCTTTGAGATGCCCTTTATATAGTTGTGTTTTTTTGTTTTTTCCCATCAAGCTCACCCATGACTCATGACTGCCTCCCTCATCTCTTCAGATCTTTTGTTTTGCAAGACTTGAAGGCCACCATGTGAGAGACACAACACTTTTTTTCCTTAAACCATGTCATTACTTCAGACAGTCACACACACACACATTCTTCTGCAACCCAGCTTCAGAGTTCCTGAAGCTCTCGGAATGGGACTGTTCAACACATGCTTGCAGTCTTTGACTTCGTCCTTGGCTTTGAAGTCGGGGCTTAGAACAACGCATTCAAACAACCAACTTCTCTATCGTTGACCTTGCCAACCGGATCAGGGGTTCCATACGAATCCGTTTGCCAGGAGTCTGCTGGGCCCAGTACCGCGCCAGTTCCTCCCAGTGGATCCTCCATCACGCAGGTTGGACTGGGCTGGTCGGCAGCATGCGTAAACTTCTGAGTGCAAAATGCTCAAATATAATGCCAATCCAAATCCCATTCTTCATAATCTCGCAAATGCGTTCCTTTTCTTGCTGGCATGAACCTTTGTATACGAGCCCGTGGCCTTGTTTGTGTAGCACTTGATGCACATTGTCTATCATTTGGCTGGCGTGTGACAATTGTGCGTGCAGCTGCTATTTTATATAGTCATTTTGATGTGCCAAATCAGCATGATGCCTGATCAGCGTGGCGCTGAAGCTTGGGAGAGCCACTCATTTGGTTTCATGACTTCCGCCTGTTAGCGTTGTCATCTCCTTTGATTACATAGTACGCACGGAAGGACTTAGGTCAGGAATGATTGCTTCCTGCTCGTACCAACAGTCTCTTGGGAAACGATGAACCTGTGGAAAGCTATGATGAAGTAACATGCTGATATTCATGTCGGGAAGTGTACTGCGGTGATGTTGTAGCTGGTGTGGTGAAGTCTACTGTTGGTACTGTGCGGTGTGCATGATTTGTGAAATGGTTAAGTCGTGATGTAATGAAGTAGAATGTTGACGGTGTGATGAGTGAGAATTCTTATTGTCAGAATCGTTCGTTTAGCATTGTGATGCGCGGTGATTCGTTCTGTAGGGAGGAACTCTGGCAAGAATTCTTGTGGGTGATTATGGTTGAACGTAGGGCCTGCAGTGCTACACAGACAGGTGAACAACTGATAAGTGGCTTCCACTGTTGGAGGCTGTGTGCAGTGCCACAACACAATGACTAAGTGGTGCAAAGCTCCCCACAGATACACTCCCACAAACATGATATCTTGCTACCAGCACCTGCAATTCTTATTGCTTTCACTGCTCATGCTCTTGCTACTCCTCCTCTTGCTGCAATGCCGACGAACGACCGCAACCGCTTCTACCTCTCCTGCGACTCCTACTGCTGCTGCTGCTGCTGCTGGCACTCCGACGAGGATGACGATGACGGCGAGCACTACTACTACTACTACTACTACTACTACTACTACTACTACTACTACTA